GAGATGCAGAAGTTCATGGAGTTTTTGCGGTCAAAGAACTGGTCAGTAGAGGTGAAAGGTGCTTTCAACATGTCAGACACTGTCATCTGGTCGGTTCAAATATTTGAAGCGAAACATTGAAGTGGTTGAAGGAGGAGTGACAATCAGGCCAGATGCACATCAGATGGAGGAGCTAGCAGAACTGTGCGGCGTCACGCAACTGAAGCGCAACACCAACTGACCACATGAGAAAGTGGCAGAAGGCGAGGTGACAAAGTTTCGTAGTTGCATAGGAAAGCTGCCATACATTGCACCAGACAGACCAGATGTGCAGTTTGTTGCACAGGGATTGGCATCCTTGATGCAGCAGCCAACCAAAGCAGGATGGTGCTACGTGAAGCATGTGAGCTCATACCTGTTTGGAACAAGAGATGAAGGCATTTTTCTGGAATCAGGTCCAAAGGGACGAAGCGTGCTGAACATTGACCATGTTGAGGGTGAGCGAAAGTTTGAGTTCGAGGATGGCGAAAAGAGTTTGCTAGAGGTGGTCTGTGATGCTGACTACGCTGGAGACCAGCGAGCAAGACGTTCAGTCAGCTCAGTGCAGATCTATCTTGATGGAAACTTGATGGAGTCCTATGTCAGGTGCCAGAAAAGCATTGCTTTGAGCTCAGGCGAAAGCGAATACATCGCAATGGTTGGCGGTGTGAGTGAAGCATTGTTCATCTAACATTGTGGGAATTTTTGACAGAAGAGAAGGCGGAAATGGTTTGCCGGTCAGACTCATTGGCGGCGCGATCACTGGCTCAGCGCGTCGGCATCGGCCGATCGCGCCACATCGCAGCAAACATGCTGTGGATTCAACAGAAGGTCGTTGAGAAGCTGCTGAAGATTTGTCCGATTGGGAAGGCATTCAACCCAGCGGACACAGGTACGAAGTGTTTGTCAAAGGCAAGGATGAAACGTTTGAAGTACATCATCAAGATGATCAATGGTGATGATGAAAAGGTTGGTCGTAGTGAGTACGAGGAGATAGCAGCAAAACAGGAGGCACGAAAAGCAACAACAAAAGTGGCAAAGAGTTTTGGAGCAAATGCAAAAGTGGCAGCAGTGATTGCAATGGCCCTGATCCGAGGAGCCACCAGCAGCAATGTGGATGGAGAAGAGGCTGGTGACAATCTTGGACCAAGGTCGTAGTCACAATCTCATGCTTGGCAGTGATCGGTGCCTTGAGCTTGGCTACGATCATTGCGACACATGTCAAGCATTTTGTTGAGAGAATGACAGTAAAGAAAGAAGAAGTGAAGGAGGATCCACAGGTGTTTGAGGAGGCACAAGACGAGATTGATTTTTGGAAACAAGGAGCAGAGAGGTTCGAGGCAGAGAAAATCAGAAAACACAAGAAACTCAGGAGGTGAAAATGCGAGAAAGATAATGGCAGGACAGCTGCACAAATCTGCGAAAGATGAGTGATGGATGCGCACAAGCGGAGGATGAAGAGATGAAGAAAAGAGTGGAGTTAGAAAGACAGTTGGGAGCATGCAAAAGAGATATTGAGAACATGGAGCAAGCAGCCAAAACATGGAAAGAAAGAGCGTTCAAGGAGAAAGACACTTTGAAGAAGATGCTTGAGTTGTGGGGCACAAAGATTGAGCGTGAGTTGGCAAGCTTAGAATGGGTAGTTACGCCTGGTGGTGGAGAATGCCACGTGCATGATTGCAACCATGTCAAAGGAAACGGCAGGAAATATCTGCCATGTAAAGACTGTGTCCATGGGGCCATACGGGGCGTGATAGAATTGTCCCGGCGAACCATTCAGTGATGTCACATGTCCCCATGGAGCAGTGTGCATGAGAAGATTAGCATGACTTTTTGCAAGGATGACACGACACAAAACGTGAAGTGGCTGAAACGACATTTACAGGCCCAAATGAGAGCTGCAAAACGTGAGTGCAGCGATTTTCAGTTTTGGGAAACAACCAAGATGGAATCAGCCGCCTTCAGACTCAGGTTTCAATTCTGAGAAACTAATTTGAAGGTCACTTGGACCGATATGACAATGAAGTTGACTTGTTGGAGGATTATATGGACTCCTTCAAATATGGACTCCGTCAAATATGGAGTTATGGAAATGGGTGGACTCATCCGCCACCGAAAACTATCAAAAGAACAGCGTGAGTCACGGGAACTTCCTGGAAGGAACATGGTGCTTCATGATGAAAATTGACGGGATCCAGACAATAGGGACACCCCATCGAGACCTGCAGCGAGGAACGCTAGGATGTCAACTCCAATGCGCGCTTCTGGTTCGAGAGATTTCAAGGTTCATCAAGGCTCAACCGGCGAGATGAATCGTGGAGAACAAGGAGAAGAGGAACTTGGGACAGACGATGAACTCTTAATTAGGAAGTGGTGAAAATGTAAGTGCCAGCTCGAAAATTGGCCCCGCAAATTGAAGCACAGCAGAATGAATGTCTGGCAAGTGAGCGTTACGAGGATGCTCGAGAATACCAGAAAACTATAGACAATGTTCTGGAATCAAGGGACTCTGGTGCTGGACTTACAACAACTCTGCCGTTCCAGGCGTTGAGTGGTGGAAAAGGATGCCGGGCTCTCCTTCACCCTGAGCGATACCGGGCTCTCCTGAAACCCGGATAGATTTTTCCTCCCCAGGGATTCCAAACCTGCAGCGTGTCAACAGTAGTCTTTAGAGCAGTGGGTTGAAATTTTGGTTTCATTTGACCACATCCTTGAAATGATAACACAAGAAAACAGGTGACCGGGGAACATATGTCCTACTATCCTACTGTTTGAGTCCGTGATAATGAGCTATCATGCCGTTGCACTCCATGAGAATCTACTTGGCACAACGTTTTGGCATCCTTTGGTTTTAACATTCCTGAACTTATGGGCAACATACGGCCATACAGTCCTTCGATAAGCCCTGTGGTCCATGGTCAGTATTATTCTGATCAACGAAAACCGTCCAAAAGTTGGGCCACAAGCACGAATTTCCACAACCAACCCTTAGGCAATGGCCCGCCACCCCTCAAAAAACATACAAGTTCACGGCCAAACATCTGCCTCTGTGAGTCCGCATGCTAGCACCCAAACACATCAAAGACTTTGTTGACAATCGAATATGTACCAAGCCCAAAAAAAAACGCATACTCCCCAGATAACAATTTTTTTGGTGGAAACTAAGCGCTGGCCGCTTTGGCTACAACATAAACGCCATTTCTATCAAAGGCCAGCGCCCACATTGCCGTAGACATCTTGCAGCAACTTCCAGCGACACCAGCACCCAAGCCTCATAGCTGCAAAAATTCTCAAGGCAGTGGGACGCGTCGTTTTGACCGCGTTGTTTTGACCTCAGAATTTGGGCTTGAAACGTCAATGGATATTCCACTGCAGTGTCTGAATCTGCACATGACAGCAACCGAAGTGGAAAGCGCTTCGCTTCTGAGTTTGTGCGTGTCATCCTTGCTATCAGGAAGGCTTTGCACTCCTCTCTACTGTTTTGAAAATCAGTCTCAAGTGATGTTGCACGCTTCCAAGTGGCATGCTCAATCAGTTGAATTATTGCCCCATATCCATTTTGGCTATGATCAAGTATGTTATGCTCCCACCAAAGAGGCCTAACCCCGCCGTTGGCCAGCATCTGACCCGAACCCGCCTCGTGTTTAAAGTGAGTGTTTTGTGCGCAACAGTGAGCCGAGAACAGTTGCAATCTGAATTTGTGGTAAACCACATTCTTTTGATTTTGAAGTTTCAGTTGCTTTGCCTGCATGTTGTGGTTCATCAACTCGTTCGCAGGCTTTGCATCGGCAATTGCGCGGTGATGCTGTGGTCATTTATATAAACGGTCTCTCTTGAAGAAATTGGTGGCAAACCATTTCTTGATTCAGTTTCCCTGTATCTTCTTGAAGCAATTGAAGCGAACCTGAAACCAACGGATAGGTCGCTTTTGTTCTGTTGATACCACTTTTAATTGGGTTTGTTGTCCGTGGTGTTTTCCCCGATATTTTTTTGGATGGACGGGTGCCAGCTGTGAGCTGTTGCCTAGTTACCTCTGAATTCAAACGTTTTTTTTGGCAGGAATGACGGGGAACCCTCAGTTTCCTGTGCGCCGTTTTGCTTCAGCAGCCACAGTAAATCAAAACTTACGAGGCATTTGCATGTTTTCCTGTTCAGTTTCGAGTGGACACTTTCTCCATTTTTTTCTTTGTTTTTTTTTCCTTTTTGCTTGCAAGTCTCTGGAACCGATCGAAAAAGACACAGCGAACACACAGGGCGCAGTTGAATCACATTTAACTTGTACCTGCAGCACCTTTGGAAACAAGACGGAAAATGATCTGACTTGTGTCACCTGACTTTCTTTTCCGAAGTCTCATGAATCAACCAAATGCCAAGTTTGCGAACCTTTTGGGGTCTTCCGGCCATGTGCCACCAGCATAAACAGTAGTACATTTAGTGTCAACGCTTTTATTTCCTAAATTATTGTATCGCCGTCTATCATTGTTTATCCGGATTTAAGGGAAACTCCAAACAACGCCCGGCAGGGTGGAGTAGCAATAGTTGTTTGTCCATCCGTGGTTCCCTGCCTTGTAACAAAAAATAAGGGAAGTCGCCACAAACATTTGGTTTTCGCCACTGGCATATGGTCATGTGAAGTTGAACTTGTTGACAAATGTTGTTATTGACACCGCGCAGCGTTCCAGTTCTGGCATAGACGGGTGGGGGGATTGGGGATCGCCAACATCGTGTGATTGTGATCAAGGACCGTAATGTGCTGATACTGAAATCTTTTCAGCAGGGTTTACAATGTGCGACAACGAACCACAGTGTCAATTTGAAAACATCACGGTAAACCTACACATTTCGTTTTTGCGATGTAGGATGAACACATATTATTTCGAAAAGAAGTCCGTGTTTCCACCCAGATATAATAAAGGTAAATAGCGTTGACGGAAAAACGTGTTGCTATTTGATGCTCTTCGCAGTATGCCTGCTGCGAGGACATGTGCTCCGGGTGGTCTGGATCTGAGCATGGGAACAAGAGTTCCCAGTAGTTTTTCTGATTTACATATGTTGACAATTCCCATCACTGGTTTCACCCCCTATTTTTTGAACTTGGGTATGTAGTGCTCACCACTCTTGGGCTGACATTCTGCCAGTTGGATCCTTGCTGGAATGTTTGATCCGCGCAGCCTATGGGGTCAAACCTATCCCCAACCGAACCTGTTGCAAACGACCTTGAGAGGCTTCAATGGTGGTTTTCGGAACGAGACTAGACGTAAGCAACAACATGAACAGCATTTGCCGAGTGTCATTATTCGTGAGACAACTCTTAGAAGCAGAGCAAGGACACAGTCCGATCAGTTTTTTAAAGATTGAAAAGGAAAGGTTGAAGAGTTAAACATTTTATTTCAAATTATATAGTATATTTAATATAGTATCGAAACCTCTCATGATTCTCCATGGATGGTTTCTCTTTGCTCTCACAAGTGCGGACCGCGTCTTGGAAGAAGGACTTCTGGATCTCGAATCACTCGAATCATCATTCCTTCAAATTTCCATTGAGAATGTGACCTTGACGCACGTCAGTGAAGTGTCACCATGGGTGAGCTTGGGCACGGTTCACATGAGCATCTACTTGGTGGCGTTTCTGCTGGTTCCAATTTGTGCGCTGGCCTTTGCAGGTCCTAAATGGCTGTTAGTTGCGATGATCACCTGTGCCGACTCCACATGTACAGAGCTCCCCATGGCCATTTTCCCAGTGATTGCTGAAGGTCCGGTGGCTTTAGGAGCTTTAGTAGCTACCAAGCCCTTCGGCCAGTTGCTTGCGACCCCTTTGGTTTTGAGGTTCACCAGACATAGAGAGGTAAAGGCCATGGAGCTCGGCCTGTTGCTGCAGAGTGCTGGTCTTCTGCTGCAGGGCTTCACTCCAAGTTTGGGCGCCTGGTTCGCCGCCCGAGCCGCTCAGGGGGTGGGATCAGGCCTGGTGCTAACCGCCAATATGGCGACTGGCACTGATGCCTTCGAAGAGGTCAAGGACAGCAACTATGTTGAGCCCATGATTCTCGTGTACAGCATGTATATTGGTGCGGTTTGTGGGGCGCCCTTTGGAGGTGTTGGCTTCACTATCCAGCCTTTCTTACCATTCCTGTTCCTCGGACTTGCTGAGCTGCTGCTGCTGGCAGCCGTTCACAGCAAGTTGGATGCACCCTCCATAGCAATGCCAGGGACGCAGCCCCTTTTGTCCCTCCTACAGTATCCAATGATTTCACGACCCGTCGCATTGATTTGCCTCCTTGTGATGTACACCGCAGCTCTTCAGGCAATGCTTTTCAGGGTTTTGGAGGAGGATTTGGAGCTCACGGTGGGTGCTGCCAGCTTCACTTGGTTATTTCAAGCCTGGCCTGCCATCTTAGGCGTTTTATGCCTCGGCCCGGCTGCTCAAAGGATTGGCTTCAGGCTCATCATGCTCACTGGGATCCTGCTGGCTGGCACCAGTGCACTTCTGGCGGATGAGTCCTTGACCGTTCTCATCCTGGAACTCGTTGCGGTAGGTCTGGCTCTTGGAGCAGAAAATGCCACCGTGCCCAGGTTGCTTGAGGACGTGGGTATCAGGCACTTTGAAGCTCCAGTGTCAAACAACATCATAACACTCTTAAACTTGGGCCAGCAACTGGGTTATGTCATGGGCCCCTTGACCGGTGCCTTGCTATGTCATGTGAGCAGCTTCCAAACAATGTGCAGATTCTTTGGGGTTCTACTCCTAGGATATGCCTTGGCGCACACTGCAGACTGAGAGGGATACATGCTGAAACTGTAGAACCGCTGCGTTTCACTGACCAGTATGGTTTCGGCGCAAAACCGGCTACTAGCGGGACATTGCGCGCGTCATGTTTTTTTTTTTTACATCCTTTTCGGTTTTCTCTTTCCGGGCAGCTCAGCCAACTAAGGTTGAGCTCTTGCTTCCAAAGCTACACCAGGTCATGGGGCTGAAGTAGTGGTGCGTGTCACTTGTTGAATTTTGTTGGATGATGCATGGGATGGTTGGATGGATTGCATGATGATTGCATGATGGAGCTCAATGCGGCTATGCGGCTCCTGGTGACTTGCTCCCGAGCACAAACATGTTGCGATCATGAAGGACCACCATCGATGAGCTGGAAGTCCGCCGGATGCAGCAGTGGATCCCAGTAACAGGAGACCCTCCAGCCTGTCCCAACAAGAGTTCTTTGATCAGTTGGGTATATATAAAGTGTATATATATATAATATATACATAATTATAAATATAAGTTTATGAGCTTTCAACAACTGTGATCCCAAGGCTGGGGGCTTTGCTTTTAGCCTGCTTTGCAGTGCAAGTCCTCCGACTCGTCACTGGGCAGCTGCTGTCCATTCTTGGACTAATGACCTGCCTGGCTGCAAGCCTAGCATCGTGGCCGTCAGCAGAAAGCAGGGCCCTGGGCCGAGCAGGGCCTAGGCCCTAGCAGCGCCTAGCGCCTGTCACCTTGCAGACTTAGGCTGGAAACAAGGCGCGCTGCACTTTGTGTGACTGGGACCTGTGGGTCTTGGTCATCATGGCCAGTTGCGGGGCAGCCTTGGATCTGGTCCTTTGGACGCAAGCATTTTCCCACAGTGGCAGCCCTTCAAGACATGTTTCATTTTGTTTTGCTTTTGGGTGTATGTTGTGGTACTGTAATTCCAAGGCCAGTCTTGCGGTCAACTTGGACATTTTAGCTGGCAGCATGCTCAGACATCAGTAGACCAGTGGTTAAGCAGCATGGATCTCATGCAATGCGTTGATGGAGTCAGTGGCTTGAGCTACCAATACCTAGGTTTCAATCTGGACTGGAGGTGGCAACATCATCACAGGGTGGAGGGGTGGTCCCATGTCCCATTTGAACATCACCCTGGCGCAACGCAGGATGGCCCCATGCCGAAGAGTTGCAATGACTGGCGCCATCGTGGCACCTTTCTTGGAGATTTGCTGTGTTCAGGCCATGATTTCGTCAAACTTGATATATGTTGGATTGTTTTGATGTATCTTGGGGATCTTGGTTGGGTAAAGGTGGGATTCAGCTGGACACCCTGCAAAATACACAATCTTTATCTATCTTGGATCCAGTAGCATTCCCATTCTGAGCATCTGAAGGGTCAGCAATGGCAGGTCGCTTTGTACAGCTACCTTCCCAGGGATAAGTACTTCTTTGTGCCGAGCCTTTCCAGATGCGCTTCTGGCATGATGGGAAGCGGCCGACTGCTGGAAGAGTTGCACCATGATTTTAGGTGCCAACGAATGGTCAGAGCTATGGGCATGTCAATGCCTTGCGCCCGCATCTTGGGGTGAACTGTGCCTTTTGAGTCAACTTTTGAGCGGCTGGCCCTTGTCTTGCGACTGCATTTTGAAGCCTTCAACTTTAGCCCTTCGCAATCATTCTACCCCTTCAGTTGTCTTCCATCCTCTGAGTTTTATTGATGGTTCCACCTGTTTCTACCCGAGGGTTGGAAGAGACTTCAATCACTGCAGGGATTTTGCTAGACTTGTGAGGATAATGGTTGGTGGGCGTAGGTGCTCGCATTGATTTGCGGGTTTGACGGAAGAGTCGTATGTTTTTTTCGGCCTCGAGCTTTGTAGCGCTTTAGAGATAGGTCAGCTGTTGTTTGCCATGCCGTCACCCATTCGAGTGGGAGATCTTGTGCACCTTGGCAGCCAATTTCTCTTGCAATTGGACTGCGATGTGTGCTGACGCGGTTTGCGTGATCTTCACTGCCTGTGACTGCAGTGACATCATTCCCAGGCAGATCTTCAACAGCGCCACTGATAGCTTTGACCAAGAAGGTGTTGTCAGCCAGGTACTGTCTGGGCCACATGCCTATGGAAGTTCAGTTGCTTGGTGCATGGAAATGCAGGAAACAAAAAAGACAAAGTGATTTGAAAGCTTTTAAATATGATTGCCACGTGGTTGCCAGGAGGTTTACAATCTATAGGTCTGGAGATTCTTGTTGCATGAAGAAACTAGCTCTAGCTGAGGTATTGCCAGCCGGCTCCGTGGCTGTTGCGGTGGACGGTTCACGGACAATGTGGATCAGCGAGGAACATGTAGGCAAGGTCTGGTTGTGCTGATGTCGCAGTGGTTTGAACAAGCTTGAGCCTAGTGACTCCAGAGAGACAGTTTGGTGCGACAAACCTGCCCCTGGGCCATGGAGCACTTGACCGGCCCGACAGGTGTCATGTTGCAGAAAGCTGAGAAGGCCTGTGGGTCGGTGAACATGGGGGTTGTTCAACAAATTCAAATATGTTCAACATGGCCCTGTTGGTTTCCGAGGTGTTGGTGATGGACGATTGCACCCAACTGAATGAGCTTGACAGCCCGACCACCAGCACGCCAGATCATGGCCGGAAGGCGAGTTGCACACGCATGTCATTTGGTGATGCCCTGAGCGAGGTTTTGACGGATACTTGGAGAAAACATGAGAAAACATATGACAAAATGATACAAAATGCTTGACGCTTGATCAGCGAAACTTGCTTTTTTTGATATCCCAGGACAAGGCGACCACTGGTTATGCAAATGCAAATGCGTCCATCAACTCGATGCACCATGGCAGCAGATGGTGCAACACGAAGGCTCTGGGAGGATGTTTTGCTGGAGAATCAGTGAAGTTCACTGCCAGGATCGGCGCAGTGTCCTCCTTCTTTGGGCTGGGGATGAAGGATGCGCCAGCCATTGGTGATGCGCTCCCAGACACCGAGCAGACAGAGCGGGAGGATTCACTGGAATCGGACAAGGCTGGGGGATGATGTATACCGGTACGCAGAAAATTCTAGTCTTCATACTGATTACAATTGGTTTGACCATATGATGATAATTCCACACCCACTAAACAGAAACTTTTGGGTGTGCCCACCCTTTTCACACACACACACACACCCCCATACGCACGCACCCATTTGTTTTTCTCTTACGTTCACGAATTGCTGTGCACCGGAATCCTGTCCAGGAAGATAGTAGTCGTGGCTTTGTGCAGGGGGACGTTGCTTAGCTGCAGCACAGTCTCAGAAACAGAGGGGTTTCCATTAGCAGATGGGTACCATCTGGTAATTTCACAGTTTGCTGTGGAACATCACACTTTTTAATGGGGCATCTATAAATCGGCTCCAGAGGGCCGGAGGGTATGGGTCAAAATTATGCCCCCCAAACGACCAAAGTCTGGGGTCCCTGGAGTTGGGCCTTATCTTTTGACCGTAGCCAGATGTTTTACAGCATTCCTTGCTGCGATCTTAGAGTACTTGCCAGGTTGTGGACCTATGGAGCTACGAGTCCTTGGAATGGGAGTTGGGTGGAACCGTGAGTCAGGTTCCGTCCAAGATCAAATAGTTGCACCAACTGTGTCCAAGCGAAAGTGCATGGCTCATGACAGTTGCAGCTGTCTGAATCTGACTCAGCCTGAAAAGGTGCTTTCTGCGCCCCTGTCGCTCGTGTCAATGCAGCTACCAGCCGGGTCCATTTTGGTGTCGCTGAAGGGCACTTTGAGGTGCGAGAACTTGTCAATGCCGAATCACGATGAATCACGATGAATCACGTTTGTATTTGATTTTGTTTTGCGGTGCACAGTCATGTTACGCATTGACAAGTTCACAGCCTCTGAGAAAGCCACTTCTTGGACTGCGGGAGACTGCCAGGTGGATCACTCCCGAACTCTGCAGTCTTGCAGTCCGCCGTTCCGCCCTGCCAAAGCCTCTGAAAGCCGATGAGGATCTGCATTTCCAGGAGGGTGACCAAGTCGAAATGCGCGATGTGCATGGTGCTTGGCAACCAGCGTTGGTCACTGCAGTTGCGACCTTCAACTCCGATTCGATCCCTGCTGGGTCTCTGACAGTTTGCCTGCAAGCCAGTGCTCGAAGTTGCACCATCATCCCAGAGATGTTTGGGAAGCTGGTGCGGAAGCCAGTGGCCATGGGCAGGAAGAGCACAGATGGAAGTGCCAAACATGATTCGGAAGATGTGGAACGATGGAATCCGGACACATACCTCCAGGGAGACCCAGACAAAGAGAGGTCTGATGCTTCCGTTGGGCGGGTTTCATCAATTGCATCATCTTGCAAGCGAGCTGCTTCAACCGCGAGTCAGTGTCATTCGAGTGCAGGAGAGGTTCAGAAAGCTCTGTCAAGTCATTCATCAATCAGGGACGACGACAGAGTCAGCAACTGCCACTCCGATCCGCCTGACAGTGTTGCGAGCCAGCAGGTGATTGCCACACCGATGAACACATCACCCAGACAACCGGACTCATCAGACGACAACGATGACATCAATGGTGTCAACAAGACGTGGTCAGACCATGCATCATCTGAAGTTGATAAGGAAAATTCAGCAGACTTAGTCTCCAAGCGCCATGACCTACCATCCGGCAAGTTGGATGTGAAAGCCGACATTGAAACCGAAAAGCCGGAGGACTCAATGAGCAAGTCACCATCTGATGGCACCACGGCCAGCGGTCAACTTACCCCGCACCTATCTGTGAGTGCCTCCCCATGTGCCAGTCCTGCCACTATGCCACAGCCTGCACCCAGACGTCCATCGGCCACGTCTGCCACGTCGGCGACGTCGGCGACCTTCCTGGACGACCAAAGGCCACCCAGTCCTGCAGGAAGCGTCCACTCAGTGCGCCCCACAGTGAGTCTACGCATCCCAGATTTGGAGGACCGACCGTCGCGGCCGAACTCACCATGCACCACACCAAGGAGCTGTCGGTCTGCAAGGGCACCTTGGAAGTTGCGGATCTGTGTTTTTTTTTAAAGGTTTGCATTTTGTAACTGTATTAACTTTACCACAATATGGCATCAATATGGCTTAAGGTGTTGGTCACTAAAGTCACTAAAGGTCCTTTTTCAATGTTGATTGGGGTCACTTGGTTCAGATTAGTCCAACGGTCCAATTCCCCTGCTCCGCAAGGTAACTTCAACGGTAGAAGGCCCTGTCTACGACCGTGCTGAGAAGCGAGTATTGGTGGTGGGTCCTGGCTTTGGGCGAGAGCTGAATCCACAACAAGGCCGTGCCTGATATCAGGGGTTGATGCTATCGCACATGGGGATCACAGAAAGGTAAGAATTCCAACCATCAGCAACTTCACATCATGAGTCTTCCTTGCAAGGCCAGATGTTGGACTCCGCTGGCTTCCAGGTGTGCACCTTGCAGATGTCAATCACTTGTCAATCCATTTCATTCTTTGGTGTAGATCTGGTGGACGCCAGGTCCGCTGGGTCTACAACTTGCCGAACCCAGAGACGCCCTGCTTCCCCATTCAGCAGTTCCTTCCAGTCCCTTGGCTCCGCAGCTTCCCCCATCCACTGCCTTGAGATGCAGTGGTAACCAGTGGCAACGGCAGGTGCTGAAGCAGGCCATCGACGAGTTCCAGCCGCATCTCTTGATTTGTGCCTCCAAAGGCGGTGCTTACGCCACGGGCCTCTGGAAGGCAGGGCTCTGGGACGGTCCTACGCTGCTCATCAACAGGCCTGGGTGCTTTGAGTTCCTGTAGTTTGCAACCTCACAGATCAATAGGCCAACCATACTTGGAACACCTGTAAATAGAATGGCTGCTCGTGACCCTTCATCCTGTAAAGTCTTGGTAGGCATCCGACCTTGACAGAACTCCCAAAGGGTATCTTGGTCGCATGCAGCCGTTGAATTTGTTCATGTGCAGACATTTTTTCTCTCATTGCCGAGGAAGCGTTGTTGTCTTGGCGCATGGCTCCAATGATGAGTACTACAAGTTTCGCCGGGAGGATCTGGAGGCTCTCATGCGTTCAGGCAGGGCCCTGTTTTGAAGATGCTTGCGTTCTGCTGTTTTTACTTCATTTTTGTTCCGTCCTGTTTTCCACGGTAGTGACCCATTCTAAACGCAGTGCCCGTTTAAGCATGTTATTTCGCGATTACACCGAGTTTTTCGCTGCCACTGCAGCATTCATGTGTGGTGACGAAATGCCAACGCTGGTTGAGAATTGCGAAATATTTGTGAGGAACACCAAACAAGTGCTACCTGTACTACACTGCAAACAGCGGCATCCTGGGTCGTGGCTATACCCGTCAGGGCGACAAACATAATATGGAGCGTTTTGGCTGCAGGAAGCTGAACATTGTCTTGTGGCCAACAACTAGTTACTAGATGTTGCCAGTCAGTTGGTAGGTTTTCCAGGGGTGAGCAGCTCTTGTTACTGCTGCCTTTGGCAAGTGCTACTTGGCCATATTGGCACGGCCACGGCAGCCGTGCTGGCGCGAGGTCCCTGAAGCAGTGGGACACGCTGCCGCGGCTGTGCGATGCCGCCATGACTTTGGAGAGTCCCGAGCTGCAGTTGATGAGATCCTGGCGATCCATGCTGACCCAGGTGGACTGGACGGCACTGCTGGGAAAGTCGGGAATAAGTGACGTGATGTTAAACCGACGTTTCCTGATAAACACCATTAGTAACATTAGTACTTGAGATGTGTTGGCTTGACAAATCAGGGTTCTTCAGATACAGGGAAAGTTGAATGCCCAAGTTTGGTTTTCAACCAGTGGGTTTGTTGAATGTGCGTAGGAATCAGGGGTGTTGGTGTGACAGGAGCGGCTTGCTGCCGAGGACAGCTTGGGCGTGTGTGCTGGTCCTGATTCAGAATTGCAGCAGTTGTCATCGGGTAAATTTCTGAGTTTCCAATTCCTAGAAGTTGGTTGCAGATCAGGACTGGCTGGGCTATGTGCCTGGCGTGCGCCGGCTGTGGGAGTCCTCGGAGCAAAAGGGCATGGACGACCAAATCCTGTTTGATGTGCCGCAAGGAACGGAAGAGCGGCCTCGCTGCATGATGACCTTCAACAGGGGGGAATTGCTTTCAATGGTTCAATATGTTCAAAGTGGTTCAAACACTCCGAAATTCGACATATTGGATGATCGCAAGAGATGACCCACTATTTCTGGGTACTCCAATGTAGCCACCTCGGACACCGCTAAATGCTGGCAGCAAAGGTATGAGAAGGTTGCGGCCCTCTTCCGTTCTCAGCCTGCAGTGCCACGCGCATACGCTCCAGCTTGGCCGGGCTTGTGGCAGCCTGACCAAGAGCCATTGGTGCTTGGTAGCTTGAAACATGTTGAAACTATCCATGCTTCAAGTCATGGGTGATGATCCGTAGTCGTAGTAAATCCTTACATCATACCAGACTTAACTCAGGTTGCAATGCTTGAATCTGCAGTCTGCGGCAGCTTTTAATCAAGAAGCCAACGGCTCTGGCATCATAGGGTCAACTCCCAAAAATAAATTGCAAGGGTGGCTTCTCTTAGCTTCGAATGTGCTACTAGAGGAAGCTTGATGGCGAAAGACTACGGCAACGAAAAGCAACAAGCCCTTGACCTACTTGAAAGATTATGGCAATCATACGGCGATGTGAGACTTGTGCGACTCTGCACATCAGTGGTTTTGGCATTGTTTGACTTCCAAATTTTTGGGATCGCCCCAAGCTGGGACATTTATTGAATGTCTTCAAATTGGTAAAAAATGATAGGGTTGCCATGTGCTGCCACCATCATTTTGTGACCAAGCCACTGGTGCGCCATGGAGCTGGCTGAAGGCGAGCTTGCTGCACTGCTCGAAGAGATGCTGGCGAAATGTTTAGGCTATGCAGCCCCCCGGGAGGCCACACCTTGGGCTAAAACGCCTTGGGATGTTGAGATCTGATGCTATCTGATGGTAGTGGTAATGATATTCATGATTCATGAGCTATTAATGCATATTAATGATATATGATGATGGATTTGATTCACGGGATAATGGGATATGAATGGGGCATCATAGGGGATTTTGATGGGACATGATGGGTGTGATTAAAGTGTCGTTTACGGCCTGTGAGAAAACAGCCCTTCAGGTCAAGACATGGCTTATGAATAGACAAGCCTGCTTTTCCCCGGCAAGCGATGGGTTGCGCTACACCCCCAATGGCCTAAGGTGCACCCCAGAACATTTTCCGCGCTACCTTCCAGAATATTTTTTGGATATCTGGATGTACAGCCAATGCCCATGGAAATTCATTGATAATATCCCAGTGATATATCCCAATCCATTACCATTGGTTATCATATACTATTATATATCTCATTGTTCTACACGTCCCTCGTAAGACATGTTACAATCTACCCTACCATTAAGATATATTATATAAGATCATATGTTATTGTCCCATTGTATATCATTGTATATATAATATTGTTGTCGTGTTGCATGTGTTATATAAATATAAATATAAATAAATAAATAAAAACATAAACATATAAATATAAACATATATAATATATATATATATATATAAATATAATATAATATAAATATTATATTCCTATCCTATTCAGATACCCCGATCTCGCATGATCTCGCGCCGTGCCAGAGATCCCAAGGTCCTTCGAACGCGGCGGGCGTCTCAGGCGATCTTGGCCCGAGTGGAGGAGTGTCTTCCCTCGCTGCCCACGCACACGCTGGATGGCCACTTGGCTGGAATCCTCCGTTGAAGATGCGGGGTGAAAAACTACCCAATGTAGTAGGGATTCTCATGATATCATACTCCATTTTTCTTGATTGTAATCTTACTCCAAATTTTTGTTGGTCTTTGTCCTGTATTTCTGATGGTACAGCCGCTGACGATTCCATATACATTTACATATAGGTGATTTACTGAATGATTGATTTATTTGGTTCTCTAATGCCCAAATATTCTGTAAGCCCGGGCAAAAAATCTCCAACTTTGCCAAGATCCACCTTTTGTTTCCAGTAAAGGTCCCAAAAAACCTCAAAATTTTGGATGCTAAGATCCGCAGCAAGATTTTTGTTGGTGTCATTCACCATCTATGATGACTCAGGGGATGGCACCACCTTGCTTCACCTGGCCTGTGGCGTGGGCCTTTTCGACCTGGCTGTGCGGGTCCTGGAGCGTCGCGCTGATGTGGCTCTGGAGCATCGCTACTTCGGCGCGCCGTTGCTGTTGGCCGCGGAACAAGGCGGAGATCCGGCACGGAGATCCGGGGATGGGCTTTTGGGAACTTGGAAATGTTGGAAAACTGCTGGAACTTTTTGGAAAATGGAAGGAAGTGCAGGACAATTGGACAATTGGGGAACATTCGATGTTTCGTTTTGCTTTTCTTGGATTTCCGATGAACATGGGAAGAAGAAACCTATAGACATCCAACCATTTTTGGCTAATGACGGCTAATGTTGTTGGAGTCACACCATTCTGATTGGCGGGCCACACCTGGAGGCCATGTGGATGTGGCTCGCTTACTCCTGGACCGCTCCGCGGATGTGATGCAAGGAACAGAGAAAACTGCTTTGAGCCCAGCCCATGTTGCAGCTTCGCGGGGGCATTTGGAGATGTTGCAGGCAGCTTTGGGGCCCAGTCCATTTTGTTTAGCTTAGCTTTAGGATGCTGTAAGGACTAGTTCTCAAAGTGAAGAGATCTCAAGCTTGCGAGTATACTATGCGAGTATACTAGTTTTTCCTTGCCAGTGCCAGGAAGCAGCTTAACAAACTCCTTTCTTGTGGCTTGAGGTGTTGCTGGATGCAAGGGCAGATGTGCACATCCCCAATAGTGCTGGTGCAGTTGCCTTGCACTGTGCTGCTGCCAAGGGCCAAGACAAGTGCTGCCAGCTGCTGCTGGCGAAATTGGCGGATGCCAACTGCAGCTGCCAAGATGGCAAGACTGCTTTGCATTTCGCCGCCTTTCAAAGTGTGCTTGGACCAGCTGAAGCTCTGTTGAACGCCAAGGCAGATGTGAATGCCACCGACCAATTTGGGCATACCCCACTGGTTTTTGCTGTGCGCGAGGGGCATGTGGAGGTGGCAAAGCTCTTGCTGCAACACCAGGCAGATGTGAACAGCAGCTCGTTGGATGGAGCAGTGCCATTGCATGTGGCGGCTGAACGAGGGCACGCCACTTTGCTTCGGGTGTTGCTGAGGATGCGAGCTGACGTTCATGCAAAGGGCTGCGATGGTCTCACAGCACTGGATATTTTGGCCATTGAAGGAAACAAGGAGTGGAGCTCATGTATGTACAGCGCCAATTCGCAAGGTCAGAGGTCTGGAAAGCTTAAGTCTTTTTCTGGCGAGCATTCCCTTTGGAACCATGCCTGTTAGGTTCCAATCTCTGGGTCAGGGACTGGTGCGCCGTTTTCTTGTCGGCCGCACGCTGGAATCTGGAATCTTGAACCTCGGACCCTTCAAACCCTGGAACCTTGAACCTTGTAACCTTAAACGTATAAACTATAAATAACACTTTATTAACTAGAACCCCTACTGCTGTTGGGTTTCAAAGCTGGGTCCATTGTTTGGCCTGACTTGCAGGATCTGGCCGTGCTCCTCACAGACTTTGGAGCCACATCTGAGTTCACAGGAGTTACTTTTTAGCTGTGCATAGAGTAGGTGCCCAACTGCGGCTGTAGCTTTCCGGACAATGTGCTGGAGGGCACGAACAAAAATGCCCAGAGTTGCAGAGCTGCCTCAGGGGGATGGTTTCTGGTCCTTGAGACTTTTTGTGACCAGCTATGGTTGCAATGATGAAAGTGGAGCCATACTGGAGCCGTCACAGCTGCAGTGATTCTTAGACAATCAAGGATATGAACCCGGGCATGTGGCAGTATATCTCCATTCTGAAGATCGAGCGCGTGGAGAATGGAATGCAAGAAGATGGCAGCGCAGAACCTTATTACAAGGCAGCGGCAGGAGTGAGATGGATATAATCTTTTGTGCAGATATCTTCAGCCTTGAATGGCTACAGTATCTAACACAGCAGAGAAGTGTTTGTGGGTCACAGATTTTGTTGCCACAGGCCTTGCAGAGGGGTATCGAGAATCAGGGGGTCCACTTGGCTGCACTCTGACAGACTCTGACATTTTGGACACATTTTGGCATTTTGGTCCTTCATTTTGTCCTTCTTCCCATGAGAAAAATATAGAAAAATGATGGACACCTTCCCTGCTCAGGTGTCCTTCGTGCCAGGTCTCCATACACGCTGGGTTTTTCATGGTTCCAGCGCAGTAGCGACTTTGCTAAACTGTGTGGATCCTGTATGCTGCTGTATGCTGCTGTGAAATGCTGTGAGGATCTGGTATTTTTCACCATTTTGCAAGTGGTTTTTGGACGTGAGGAATCCATCGTCTCCAATCCCATCTCAGGCCGGTCAGTTGCACCATTTCCAACCATTTCCAGTGATATGCCATTTTCAAGACCCGCTGTTTGAAAGTGGCAATTTCCTTGACTCCAATATCACAGGTCACAGGATTGGTGATGCAATTCTTAGTATCTTCGGTTGTGCCATAGTTGTATACCATTTCATTTGAATCACAATTTTATTTTTTTGCGTGTCTACCAGGTTTACCTGATAGAGATTCAATTCCAAGAAAGATACCTGCTTGCTCTTTTTGAAACATCTCAGTTACATCTGCTTCATATGCAAGTTTAGGTTCTTGGAGCAAGAATCCACTCCCTTATGAATACGGACCCCGCCAGAAAACAGAAACCTTAGTTCAGTGTGGTCCAGCATCGGGTTGGTTCATTTTGGTGCTACCTTTTTTGGGTGTCATTTAGCAATTGCTCAAATCAGCCCCAAGAACGGATGGTTCAATCGGTTCAATACTAAAAATGACGTCCATGGCTATCTAAACGGCTTGCGTCCACATAAAAAACGAGCATGGGCTAAAATTGGCCAAAAAATTGGGGGATGAGCATTCATATCATCCATAGCTACCAGCTGTTTGGGATGATATCTTCAGCGGATTCCATGGGTGACAGAAGGCTTCCAGCCGCTGATGTCGGGCACGCGGGGCAATGCCCTCTGGGGCCCTGGGACCTATTTCGCACGCGATGCTAAGCCTCTGGGCTGCTATTTGTTTTTCATGGCTGGTTTGAAGGGGATAGTCATGATAACAATAAAACACACACACACACATACATACATATATATATAATATAATAATAATGATGATGATGATAATAATGATAATAATAATAATTAATATATACAGTAAGAACATGTAATAACAACAATACTAGTAAGAATCATAATGATAGTGGTGATGATAATGTTTCGTGTTGGTGATTTGAATGTTGGGATGCTTTGGCGACAAGGGTGATTCGGGTGGTGATTTCCGTCATGGGCGAGTGTTGGGATTCCATACCAACCAAAAGCAAGGTACGTTTACGATGGTGGCTTTTGTGGCCCTTCCATGGATGGAAGCAGACAAATCTTGCCGCCAAGCCTGCATTGAGCCTGTGCCGGGTACAGCTTCTTTGCACAGTGATCCCCCAAGCCATGGAATCCATGGATTTCAGCGCAAACTGTATACATTTGCCATGACATTTCAGTTTGTCCGCTGGAATATGGGTGAATTTTGGTCCCGATCCCTGCAATCTCGGGAAATCGACTGTCCTTGCCTCGAAATCCATGAGGCTCTGCCTTTTGATGAATGGCTTCGTTTGCCTTGGTGATCCGGAGCACAAAGGGGTGCTACCCTTTCGCCAAGGGCGACACAGGCCGGAATGGGTGGTGCCATGATTGGGGTTTCCAAATCCCATTGGCCCATGAGTCGGAGATACGCGACATAACATGATACAACATGATGTACACACAGAGACACATTTGATATCATCATGGTTAACATGGTTCACATTAGCATAAGTATCCAATTCGTTGGGATACATGATGATTTTGGGCGTTCATTCAGCTTCTTGCCCCATCACCGGACAGGTACAATGCCTCTGTGGATAGCCTTTCGAACCCTGAGATTTTTGTCACGCAGTCGCCTGGCGCTGCATACCCTGCATATGTCATTACCTTCTCCTGAAGGACGAAGGCACAGAAGGCACAAGCCGTGTGGCTGGTGGCTCTGTCTGAGATAAAAGGGCCCCGCAAAAACCATATGTCATGGCCATCGCAAAGGGAAAATCATGATAAAGATGAAACATGATGAAACTGTTTTTTCTTAGGGTACCC